CTATAGCTTGGTGCAAGAAGCAATGACATCACGAGGGGGAAGGAGGAGGGGAGAAGGGGGAGGGTGAGAAGGGGGAGGGGAAGAAACGGGAAGGGAGAAGGGGGAGGGGAAGAAAGGGGAGCTGAAGGAGGAGGGGGACCAGGTCTGGACTTCCTTCCTGGGGCCCAGGGGAGCTGCAGACAGACAGCCGGAGACTCCGGGCTGGGCTGGTGGTCCGGTCGGATCTGAGAATGTGGCAGTAACAGCTCACTGTTCCCGGGGGGCGGAGGCCGCCCTGGGGCGCAGGGAGAGCCGGGCCATCCTGAGGGTCTTAGGGGAAGCTGAGAAGCCAGGCCGGGCCGGGAGGTGGAAGCTCCAGCAGGCTGGGTGCAGGTCGAAGAGTGGGAGTCTCAGGGGGCCCATCAGTGACGCAGAGGGAACCTCAAGGCTCCGGTGTGCTGTGGGCAGGGGATGGGGCAGGCCCTGGGTAGGGTGGGCAGTGAGCCAGGCTGCCCAGGGAGCTGAGCAGAGAGACACAGTGGGCATGCCCTGAGCACAGGTGGGCAGTGAGCCAGGCTGCCCAGGGGGCTGAGCAGAGAGACAGAGGGGCAGGCCCTGGGCATAGGTGGGCAGTGTGCCAGGGTGCCCGGGGGTTGAGCAGAAAGACACAGTGGGCATGCCCTGGGCATAGGTGGGCAGTGTACGAGGGAGCCCAGGGGGACTGAGCAGAGAGACGGAGGGGCAGGCCCTGGGCATAGGTGGGCAGTGTACGAGGGAGCCCAGGGGGCTGAGCAGAGAGACGGAGGGGGCAGGGAGAGACACTTGTAGCCACCGGTGCCCAGGAAAACTGGGTCAATGGTACCCCAGGGAACAAAAGGGTGGTTGTGAAGGCCACTACCAGGACCGCCCGGCTGCAAACAGCCAGCCCCAGGGCCTACTTGTCCCCAGGCCCCCAACGCATCTCAGCCCTGAGTCTCAGCCTCCGCACGTTCTTTGTTCAGTCCTCCTGCCTGGAAGGGCGGTTTTAGTATCTACAGAAAAGAAAAAGCGGGGGGGCCCCGGGATGGGGTGGCTTACCCCTGTGATCCCAGCACTTTGGGAGGCCAAGGCGGGCAGATCATGAGGTCAGGAGATCGACGCCAGCCTGGCCAATATGACGAAACCCCGTCTCTATTAAAGATACGAAAAATCATCATCATCATTCTCAGCAAACTGACACGAGAGCAGAAAACCAAACACCGCGTGTTCTCACTTGTAAGCGGGTGTTGAACGATGAGAACACGGGGACACAGTGAGGGGAGCATCACACACTGAGGCCTGTCGTGGGGTGGGGGGCTAGGGGAGGGAGAGTAGTGGGTGGGGG